CTTCATCTGTGGTCCTACTGGTCATATACGATATCATCGCGCGAATCGAGAAATCTGGACGAAAGGCATCCCCTAGAAAGTGATAGGACATACACTTTAAGAATTCACAGCCGAAAACTGCACCTGGATCAGACACACGAAACAGTTTTTCTCGGAAACTATAGCTCGACGATAGTAATCATCTTTCTCTTGACCTATTGCTTGGCATGTCCAACATTCCGTCTCTAAATAAGTATCTTGCGCGTCCGGTATCCATCGTTCAACTTAATAGTGGCGATAGGGCTCATCTTGCTGTCACTTTTTATCGAATCAGAATGCTTGGAAATGTGTGTATGCACAGATGGCCGGTCTACTCGGTGTGTTGATCATAGAGGTTCGTTTTCTTTACTCGTTCCTAAAAATAGGCCCAATCCCTCTCCTTCTTACACATTCTCACTTACATTGTATGCATAGTGAGTTTGGCGGCGATCAGTGAAGTTCGCTTTACTGTATTTCACTGTATAATGATGATGATGACGGTGATAACTGCAACTTGACCCATGATCTAATCGTCCATACAACAAGCAAGGCGAATGCAGCTGAATCCACAGTCACTCTAGTGCGAGTAGTCAATGAAAGAGGGGTTGTGTTAGAGAATTTGATACGACCATTATTTCAGTGCCAAACCCTAATTTTCGAGTCAGCGTCATTTTCGGTTGAATGCTTCTTTGGATCGTGACGCCACACTCTCCACTTCTCTTCCCTACTTGACTAGTTCCCTTACGAAACCTTGCGTACTGTCCCTCTAATGACCATATAAACACTTTTCTACCTTGCTTGTTGGCTCTCGTTGATGGTCTACCGATGTACATCTGTCGCGTTGTCTTGTGTTCTGTGTCCAGCCTAGCTTTTTGATCTCGCCCATCGTCTCTGGTATTCCTTGGTTTCGATAGCGGGTATGTTATTACGGCTCAAGGATATCTCTTTGTGCGGTTTGTCTCCTGTTCTGCATGTGTTAGCATCGTGTCAAGTTAAACGTCTCTTGTGATTGGGATGATGATCTCCAAGGCTCTGAAACGGGCTGGGTCGTTCTATGGTTGTGCTTCGGTCTACCTCGAATACGGACACGGGAGATTCATAAGAACGTGATCTAGAAGGGTGTGATATGTCACTTTAGAACGAACTTTGTGACAAATGAAGCGTTATTTAGCTCTCTGAATAGTGATCGAGCATTTGTTTCTGGCTTGCACGAAGCGGTTGCGGGATGCTAAATAGACTTGAACGACTGGGCTGAGATGCACACAATTTATGATTGGAGTCGTTAGAAGACATGATTCACTGTCCTTCACAGATTTGTTTCGTTCCCGATTCGTATGATTTTTCCTTCCGGAAAAAATCGTCGTTTTCTTTTTCCCGATTATCGACCACTACTTTTACCGATGCAGCTCTGTGCGGAACAGCTGTCAGCCATATGGGTGTTTCGTGTAAACGAATTAAATTCTCGCATGTTTCAATTTATTTTGTAGACCTGTGGTGAACTAATGTCACATTTATTGTGCATTGCTGCCGCTGCTCGTCGGAATACGGGAATCGCATCCATCGCATCCGGATCGGTTTCACGAAACGAGGTAAGTTGCTCACAGTAGACTCGTGATCTAACCTACTACAGTGGAATCTGCGCAACTATCCCCCATGAACAGACGGTTCAGGTGATTCAGACAAACGTGGTTCCCCTCTGACGGTTTACTTTCCAGAAGATCAGGATGTGTCATGTGAATTAAAAAGAGAAAAAAGAAACACCGTTAATCTCGGTTCGAATTTTCACCACTCCTTATGTAGCTGTGTCCCGTTTTCGAGACAACAAAGATAGAACAAAAATGCTGAGAATGTCTTGTTTTTATCGGATAGAATAGTGGAATCTTAATTATGCAAATAAGTGCTTTATGCTTTATTTTTGTAAAAAGCTACCGTCATTTCTCCCTCTGTATACCGGTGGCAAGTGGAACGAAGGATTCTGCAATATTTGTTAATTAATTAATTGATATATCGTAACCAATTATATAGAGTCGGCAGATGTGCCACAACATATGAAGAAAGAGATGTGATAACGGTTCAAATATCAATCAAGGAATAAAAGTCTCACGACGGGTGTGCCATTGACGCCGGTTACCAGCCATGTCTGCAAGTGTCTTAAGCCATAGATGTTCTCTATCCTTGAAACCTCAACCAGGGAGTCTAAAGCGTCCTACCACTGCTAGTTTTGAGGTTAACACCTTGTTTGAGCCCAGGTTATTCTTTGTCCGCCTTGTCCCCGATTCTAGTTAGCGTCTGCTTACGCACACAACACCATGTCCTAGCCATCAAAGTCTCCGGAGTGAGAGGACGGCACTCAGAGGACCACTGAGTTTGTCTACGGTGAACATTCTTCGGCGAACCTTGTCGTTGGTGATTCGCTGTTCCCAACGTATTCTGGCGATGCAACGAAGGCAACCGTGGTTAAAGACACTTGATCTCCGTACGTCTTCTGCGTGGAGGGGTCAACCCTCACACCCATAGAGTAATACAGTGCGTATTGTAGCATTGCAAATGCGGCCTTTCAAAGAGAGACAGATTGCGTCGACACCACGAGTGACGTAGGTTAGCGAAAGCCATTCGAGCCTTGTGGATACGCGCTGATATTTCTTCCATCAGTCCTCTTGAGCTGAAACAACTCCCGAGATAAGTAAAGTGATCGATGATCTCCAACTGGTCGTTCATGAGCGGGAGGACAGGTGTGGCCTCTTGCCAGTCTTGTAATAAAACGTTACATTTTGATGTGGAAAATGTCATACCAAACTGCCTGACGGATAACACTGACTTAAACAGGACGTTTTGTTCGTCCTGGGGGAGCCACCGAGTGCAGCGATGTCGTCAGCATATTCCAAGTCACGGAGTCGATCACCTGGGAGGAGCTCTGTAGTTTTCTAGAGCGCTGCTTAGGATTTTGTTTATTGAGAAATTAAAGAGAAAGGGCAAAACCGGGCACCCTTGACGAACTCCGCTTGGGATGGTAAATAACAGGGAGACGCGATCATAGACCTTGGCGCGGCCCGATGTGTTTGAGTAGATGGCTTTGAGAAGGTTCACATACTTCTCAGGCACACCCCTTCCTAACAGACAAATCCGGAGGGCTGCTCCGTCAACTCAGTCCAACACAACACGTATTTCCAAATGACAATTATGGTGGGTCTACTGAACGTTTTACGTTGCCCGAGGATCTGGCGTAGCGTAAATATGTGATCAACGCAGCTCTGGTCATGGCGGAATCCATCTTGTTCTTCGCGGATATGACGCTCTCTCGTTCAACTGAGCCTGCGAAGGATGAAGGATGTTAGCATCTTGGATGCAACGGAGATGTAACTAATACCTCGGCGATTGGAGCAATCGTGGCGGCAGCCCTTCCTGAAGACAAGTACGCCTTCTGCCAAACTCCATTGGGATGGAATGGATTCAGTATTCCGGTTGGTGCGGAATAAGGAAGTGAGTTCTCGGACAAAGGTTGCACCACCGTCTTTGAGAAGGGCCAGAGGGAGCCCATTTCGGCTAGGCGATTTGTGGCGTTTCAGCTGAACACTCGGGAGACTTCCTCGGTAGCCGATGAAATGTCCACAGACCATGGGGCACTACAAACATCGGGAGATGGAGCTGATCTTGTCGATGGCTAACTGAACTGTTGATTGAAGTGCTGCGCCCAAGCCAACGTTGTAGATTGTGGATAGATTTACCATTAGTTTCGCATGCGGTTTCACTGACGCTTGGTGTTTTGTTACCGGTGGCTCAGATTAGTGGAAAACGTTTGTGAGCACTATCGGAAGCAGAGGCTAGTTACATCTCGGAAGCGCGTTGTGCCCACCAGGTCTCTCGATCCTCTTTAGGAACCGTTTCAGTTCAGCACTGAGAGTCCTGCGAACTGTGATCTATTAATTACTTGGAGATATTCTTCTACAACTGTGCAGGAGTTCTAGAGTACAAGCCGAAACCCGGTGATTGGCTGTGTGTTTAGTGAAACCACACGCAGTGTTGGCGGACTTACGCATGGCGTTCTTGGGTGACGCTGCTGTTTTCTACCGAAGCGCAGAATTTCGCGCACAGGAGTGCATGATCAGAGCTGTGATATGTGCTCTAGATGGATTTACAGTCCGTTATGCAATTTCTTCATCGATAACTGATGGCAATATGATCTATTTGAGTCCAGAGCTGTTCAGGCGATGGAGGTCGCCAGGTAGCACGTTGGCGCCATGGTCGGCGAAAATTGGTGCTCGAAAGGAGCAGACCATGTTCAGCGAATATTTGCAGAAGTCGTTCGCCGTTGTCAGTTCTCCTAACACCGAGACTATGCTGGCTTCCAAGTGAGGTTTCGTCAGTCTCTAATCGACCTACTTGTGCGTTCAAGTCGTCGGCTAGTATCACGATGTCAGCGTGTCGTCTACTTTGAAGGAGGTTGGTGAGCTGATGGTAGAGCTCGTCTTTCATGCGCCGGGACTGCAGTCCGTGGGCGCATAAGCCACGATGACGAACAGACAATTTTTTATCCCATTACGAGATGCACTCACCGATCCTTTTAGACGGATGGCGCAGAGTTGGTCATTGATTGGAATCCATTCGAGTGAAACTGCTTCTGCACGTGCACTCAGTGCTATTCCCACGCCGGCCTCTGCCATTGTATCTCCGAAGAGGCGGAGGGTGAACGAGCTTGCAGAATCCGGAGACGTTGAAACGAGTTGCAGTACGCTGCTCGAATCCTGTCAGAGTGTCTCAGTAGGGCAACAAACGTCCATGGCAGACGTTTCCAGTGTGTGAGTGAGTGTTGTCTGAGCCCCAACTTGTATAAGTGTTCGAACGTTGAAAGTCGCTAACTTCAGCTGCGACGGGGGCGCGAGTACTGTTTTCGAAATAACCTGAGTGGATATTTGTTTCTTTCGCATGGGCACAAGACTATGGTTTCTGCCGTGGTCTTGAGCAACACACTGTTGAAAACTCGAAATATTGGGTGTTAAAGCGAGAATAGTAAAGTTCAACAATTGAGGAAGGGAAAGAATGTTATCTGTTGGTGTGGTAACGTGAAAATCTGTGGAGCGGACTGTAAACACCTCATTCAAAGAGCGCATAGTTCGTGAAAGCGAAACATTCGGAAATATGTACTGTGTTCATAGGTTTTGTGGGCATGTTGTGTGCCTTTTTACTTCCTTTTCAATTTTTTGAATATACAAATGCACAGTCAACTTTCCGGAAGGAGGCTGCGGCCATACAAAGGCTGCCTGGGGAAATACAGACCGAAATATAGGAAATAACCTCGGGGTCCTCACTCGAAGCCTTTGGCGAGAAAGCCTGACCTGCAAGACAGCAGGACGGAGCTTAGAGTCCGCAGTCCATTGGGGGACGATGTTCCAGTTCATCGTGTTATACGCCCTTCGGACGGGATCAAACGTCCAAAGTGCCCAATATTTTAGGGCGTATGCGTAATTGTAGGCTCGTATTTAGCGTGTATCCAATGATATTGAACCGTATCTAATATCTGTCAACTGCCATGGTATTTACAAAACTAAATTTTCCGTTTATGACCTAATGATCGTTTAGTAAATTTGACTTTTGTTGTTTTCCATTTGAAGGTGATGCGGAGTATGCGCACAGTACCAGACTCGTTCGATTCTTATCTAACACTGCTCGTTGAAGATGAGGTGAGATTCACTCCCTAATAATTAGCTTATCGTACATATAAGTATTTTTTTATCAGATCAGGTCATAGGGCAGTGTTTTCAATGACTTATACCCTTGGCAATGTCCAAGGGACCCTAGTCATTGGCCTTAAATCTGTAACTCTTATGGCACTAAAGTGTATGCGTGAGCTCATTTGATCTTGATTCATCATCCCACGTTAGTGAACCCCGAATAACCGTTATTTTAAGGACTTAAGAATAGAATAATCGACAATAGAAATTCACCTGCCACTTGCGTTTTGATTTCGACAACGTTATATTTTTCTTCCTTGCTTCGGCTCTGCGTGGTTGCTCATTGAACTTTTTGTCGTTGTGATCATCGGCTTTTTTTAGCTTAGTAAATCCCCGTATTTGTGATAAGTCCCTCCACTTCTTATTGATCATCGTGTCGAAGGAATACAGGCATACTTGCCTGTGTTTTCTTTCTTTTAAAGACGTGAACAGTCTGCTTGCTCTTTAAATATGAATTCTCGGGTTCGTTCCCCCTTGATGTCGATCGATGTGCATTACTGTTGATGCTTTATAAGGCTAAAAGCACTGTGCAACTCGTACATCCTTTTCCACCTTTTCTGTCCATTTCATCTTTGTTTCACGCACGGAGAATTTCATTTCTCATTTTCATTGATTTATCAGTGAACCCGAAACCGTTTGTGGATAGTTTTTTTCTTCTCCGTAGAGCTGTGCACCAAACTAAAAAACTCGATCCCTCTAAACTCTGGCACTGCTTTTCCCTGAAGGGTGTGCCCGAGAAGTTTATTTCAATATTTCAATCCCTCTACAGTAATAGCCGAAGCCTA